GGAAGCAGTCTCTTGGGATTTTGGCTGCCAACTCTCCAGCATGTTGGGAAATGGTGGCGATCAAAGAGCTGAAATATCCCATTCATACACCCTGTCTGCTTCTGCAGATCCCGGTTTTCGTCTGTGAAAGAAGGTAATACTTTTGCACACATTTCTGTTTCTTTTTCTGATGCCAAATTTCGAAGTTGGAATTTTGCTCGCTCTATCTTGCGTCTTCAATGAATTTCTATAGTCCCTGCCACTAAAACTTTACTGGAGTTTCATTTACAGGAAGATAGTTACCTGATTCAAAAATTTTAACATTTCCTACCTATAATAAAAAGATGAATAAAAAGTCACTGTTCCTGGGAACAGTGTTTAGTTCCATTTCCCTTTTTTTTTTTTAGAGAGGAGTCACTGTTTTCCTACTGTTTTCTTTTCTTTTTCTGAGACGAATGTTTTGTTTTGTTTTGTTTTTCTGACAGTTTTTCTCCATTTCAATAAGCAATATCCATTTCAATTTTTCTGACAGTTTTTCTCCATTTCAATAAGCAACATCCATGCCCGTTGAAGTACTGTATTTGCTTTTTCTTTCCATTTGTTTTTGTTTTCCTCTTCATGATAGAGGATGGCTTCCTCCGCACGCGGAGGCTTTCACCAGCCTCCTGTGTGGAGGCTCTGCCTCCGCTAATTGGGTTAAGATTACCGCTCTTACAACTTTATTGCTGAAAATTATCTGGAGAAAATCAAGTCCTGCTCTTTGAAAATGGAGAAAAGAAATGGAATTATGTTTTTCACTAATATTTTTCTTTTGATTCATAGGAGAAGGTGAAGAGACTATCCAGAATTCCCAAATCGTCTCTTCNTCCAGAATTCCCAAATCGTCTCTTCAATTCCATTTGGCATTCAAGAATTCTGGTATTCCTTCCTTCATTGCACGCAGCACCAAGAAAAATTCTGGTATTCCAAATCGCCTCTCCGTTTCAATTCTAAGCTTTTGTTTCATTCTCTGCGTGGATTTATGTGAGATTTAGTTTAGATGTGCTTCAATTGATTCCGGGTGTGACCGTGATAATTATGATTGTTTGCATAATGGAATCGAGAAATTATGAAATAAGTCGTTACAGGCAAATCGTTCCTAATCTAAAATTGGCAGGTTGACAAACTACGTAGCCTATTTGTCTCATGTTTAATATTTGAATGCTAATTGAAATATATAGCTTAATCTCTCTTTCACTTTACCGCAGGACCAACATCATTTGCACCTATTATTGAAATGGCCATGACTGTTGTTGAGCAGAGTGGAGGCCAGTACCATGTTTTGCTAATTATTGCTGATGGACAGGTATTTTTTTCCTTATGTTGGATAACAACATACTACAGGCCTTTCACTTTAGGAGAATGAAAAGGTAAAGTATCCATCATTTGGAGTAATGTTATAGCGGATGTTGTGAGAGTTTTTACTCAGGAGTCGGGAGATATCAGTATCTTTCACAAGACATTTGTTGGATGGATTCTACGGCAATGAAAACTTTTCTTAATTTTTCGACTTTACTGATCTGAACTTATTTTAACATTGTGATTGGATTGGCCCAAGATGGAACTGCATGGTTTGCCTTGTACATGACAAATCAGATTCTTTTGTATGCTTGAAGAGGTCTATTAGTCAGCAAACAAAGCAATAACTTGCTTGGGCATTGGCTTGTTCACTTTATGTCTGTTATTCAATGTTATATTTCATCATTGATATCAGGAAGTATACTAAAATTCTAATATCCATCCATGCAAATATCTGGAATTCAAATACTATCTTCCCCTGTTAGTTTACTTTTCGAATTTGTGTTCCACTTTGTTCATTCAAATCAACTTTCAAAAATGGTGGATAATTTCAACTTGTTAGCAAGTGTTGGCACTCAACATTCCACGAGGCCGATAGTTGTCTTGTCATAGAATGTTAAAACCTTTTTCCATTTTCTTCATTGTGTGCGAGAATGCATAGATCGTGTCAATTCCGAAACATTTCTGAAGTTTTTTTTTTAAAAATCATTGTAGTTAACCAAGAGTGTTGATACTAAAAGCGGTCAGTTAAGTCCACAGGAGCGGCAAACTGTTCAAGCGATCGTCGAAGTAAGGTAAGTATATGTAATTTTTCTTTTACAGAAAACCAAATGAATTGATGAAAGCGGGAGTTAGGGATCAGAGACCAAATCAAAGAAAGAAATCAAATCAAAGAGGATTCTGACACAATGAAAGGAAAAGACTTCATATATCTTAGGTTTCTTTTCAAATCTTAAACTCTACTTTCTAATACTTTTTAAAAAATTCCTTCTGTTTTCATGGCATGATTTCATTTTTCTGAAAAATTTTGTCAACTTTGTGTAAATTTGACAGCTTTTAATTACTCATTTGTCAATACATTACTTATTACTATACACATGATTCATGATTGTAATCTCATAAGAGCTTTTGTTTATCATTTTATTTTGGTATAGGATGATCTTTGATGTAATCACAGTTAAAGAATAGCTTTTTTGGGTTCCAGTGATCATGGCGGACAATTCCGAGCCCTTGAAGAATAGCCTGGTATTCACTTTTCTTGGTGTATTCATACTAGTTGCTTGACTTGCTGGACAGCTCCGAGCCCTTGAAGATCAGTTGCTTCAGCATCAGGATTATCACCAGTATGTGAAATGTGTAGTTTTTGGGTAACTTTCTGGATTTGAAGGAAAGTTGTATGTTGGT